ACTAAAGACAGCTATTTCTCTCGCGCGACACGATGCCGGCGTAACACGCGTCTCACTGTTATTGACGCCGCCATTCGCTGCTGCCGGCAAAATGCATAGGCAAAGTGTAGGCAAAAGACCGATCGCCGCCACGCCCTGCGGCTAAAGGAGAGAAACGCCTGGACGACGACGATGACGGCAGCGACGACTCGCCGCGTTGTTGATAACGCGAGTAATAACAATCATCTCCGATGCATCCCTCGGCCGTTTCACTCAATGCTATGCGGATTGCCTTTTTAGCGCGCCATCGGAGAAATTGGTATGCGATTGCTTAATACACATTCGCGCGCGATTGCGCGTATAACAACGTAGTAATAGTTTCAAGGCAACTTCCTTGGACCGTTGAACCCGTTAAATTCTAGGACATTCGGGTCTCGAGAGCCTTCCAGCTGAAAATTGTGAATTCTTAAATTTTTGGAACCTTGAATTGTTGTTTTATAAATTTTTTTTCTGATTTCAATGTTTAAAATTTCCGAGTTTTTTTTTTCAAGTTTTAAGAACTCAATTTTATATACAGAAATTTTTTTTATTTTTTAAATTCAGCATCTATGATTTTTAATCGTCTTTTCTACATTTCAATATTTTACGAGAAAAATATTTATCGCAGAAACGGTAAATGTAAATATTTACGGCGCAACGCTGCCGGTTGATAGTCGCGCATTTACAGTTGCGGCTATTTCCTAGCCAGCGAGGTCGATGATATCGTAATTAGAATAATTTTGACATAACGTCACTCCGCACGTTAAGGCATACCGCGAGTGACCGTAAAGACCGCGCACAACGTCGTAAATAACCAGCAAAACACGAAAATATCCGACTCGTCCCGTTATCGTGCCGCGGCGCATCTCGCAAAGCAATCGGTATCTTTTATACACTTTCACGCTTACTACGTCCGGCCGATCGGCCGACGCCGCTCCCGACGACGTCTCCATCGGTTTTCACTGCGTTCGCGAATGGATCATCGGCAGCCAATGATCCGTTCCGCAGGAATTCCAATTCCCGCGCCCGTGCCGAGAGAAACACGCGACGCAGTCGCCACTAAGTAGGCAGGCATATCTGCACAAGTGTGTATATAGGGTGTCGCGTGGTGCACGCAGGAATTTCTTGAGATACGAGTTTGGGATATCCGCAAAAATCTTTGGAAAGTTTCATTTTAACGTTCATATTTTTACGTGCATTTTTAAGATGTCTAACAACAAGTGTACGCACTTCTACTGCGGAAATCGATCTTCGGGTCGAGACCTGAAAAAAAAAAGATTGAAGGAAATTGGTAAAATTAAGCCTTGAAGCTTGAGCCTTCAAGCCTTGAAGTTCAAGGATGCAAGGAGTCCAGAAGTGTTGCACTTCTCGATTCAAAGATCGTGGGAACACACGGTACCGATACATTGTGCAATTTAAAATCCGTGATTCGAGGATATAACGGTGCGACAATAATGCGATCCTGAATTCGAAAAACGGTGTCTTGAATGCAGCACTTCACGAATTCCAAGTCATCCAAACAACAATTTAAGTTACAATATTGCTATCTTGCTGTACAGGTTTTACAAAATTTGCACCCCTTTGGTTACAATTTACTGCTGTATCATTCGCTTGATTAACCTAATATTACAACAATAATTAAAATTGAAAGATAAGTTCCAAAGTTCTAATTATCTACCCGTGTCTTCCAGAACTTTAGAAATTAGCGCGTCGAAAATAACTGATTTTGTTTCTGCCGGTGCTTTCTCGTCCGAGGGAAGTTTACGTAGTGGATTCCGGACACCCCGTATACGCTTTGGGTATTCTGCGGCGAGAGAGCGGGTACGGGTGCAGGGTAGTACTTACGTATGTATGTACAGAGCGTAGTTACGTACCGGGCGTGCATCTTTATTATTGGCCGAGAGAACCCGTACGTGCGCCCGAGGTTCGATGAACCTTCGTAAGGTACATATACATTGTACACGGGACGTATAGCTTTCCGATCGAAGTCGCTTCGGCGTTGTTGGTATCCGCGATGACTCGAAATCCCTGCCGCACGGTCCGCCCGCTGTGTTTTTCGCAGGACCACGCGCGACCACGCCGGTCGCACGCGGCGATCAGGATCACAGATAGTCTCGAAAATAAAGCCGGCATAGCCAACAGACACTGGCGAGCTTTGTGGTTTCGTGTTTTTCTGCCTTGATTAAATTATATTTGCATCGATAAAGTCATTAAAAAAATAAAAACTAATTAATGAATACAAAAGTATAAATTGCTCGAACAGTTGGATAGAAATTTTATTATTCTCTACATATATATATTGTTTCTTTTGAGACGTAAAAAAAATATTTATTTCAAGTTCTCTTGCGTGGTGAGAGAAATTATGGAAGCAGAGAGTGTGTAGTTGAAGTTCGACATTCGCGAGAGAACAGTTCGCATCGAATTGTTTGCTGGGTGCAGCGTTAGGTTTTGCGTTTGAGTAGGCGTATATACGCGTTTGCGAGCGTGTTCGTACCTGTAGATATTCCCTAGCTTATCGCTGGCAACTTAATTCTTATCTTACCAGTTCGAATTCCGTCAGTCTTCGGTGGAGCTTCCTCGGATGTCGCGGCGTCGACGATTCGCGCTTGCTCGAAATAATATTACATTCATTCCACGCGTTCGTCGGAATTGAACACGCCGTACCATAAAGTCCGTGCACGATTCTCGACGTTTTGCGGAAATCGCGAAATCACGCCGTAACGGTTCACGTAGATTCGACGACATTTTTTCGCCGCAGCTCCCGTTAGCGCGAAGGTGATTCTTCAGGAAGTATCGGGATGCGTCTTTTTCTCTAGAGAAAATCTTGCGGAGGTGTAAATCCGCATTCGCGACGACGATTTAGTGGGTGTGGTGTAAAAGACAGATACCTTCCCCGCAGTGTAACGTGAGACGAGTGCGGTGTGTAAGGCGGTGATTCAATGTGGGATTTTATCTGCTGCCCGAGATGATCCGGCAGTTTTTAGATGCGTTGGGTGGGAATTCGGTAATAATTCACGCATTCACATATCGCATTGCGCACAGGAAATGTCTGTAAGCGTAATACATTTAATAAATATATAAATATTTATGTATCTAGTTGCATCTTTTAATGATAAATCAGAAATTACGTGCTGACAGCTGTGGAGCTTATTTGTAATGTGATATGCGGTATATAAAAACGTAGATAAGACAAGGATAATAACGACTCATAGTCTTGCAGTTATTTTGAAGCCTTAAAATCTTTTATAAAAGGTTATAGGGCTATAAGTTTGTAAATGCGTGTAATAAATGAGAGATATTCTTCGTGCTCAATTACTGTCATATCTGAAAATATTTGAGTAAGCGATATCTATAATGATTATGCGTTTTTATCTTATCTAGTTCTACTACAATAAAATTAAATGGTGCTTATATTTTTCGTATATCGTGGAAACAATCTTAATAAATTAATATAAAAAAGTGACATTAATTACATTAAGCATATTGAAGAAACTAAATATCTTCCATAAAATATAATGATTGCAATAACAAGCACAAAAATATGTGTAAATATGTAATAAGAAGTAAGATAAATGTTTTCGCAAGAAAGTATATGTTGATTATTATCATAAGTAGAAAGAATTTTAAGTACAAAAAAACCTATTTTACAATCGCAAAAATATTTTATGCAAGAAAGTGATCAAAAATCAAGTGTCATTTAGAGTATAATGATTAAAATTACAGCTTTATATTTTAAATTATTATATTAACTCTCTCGTCGCTGAAGCTACTATATTAGCACTCTAGAAATTGTGTTACGTACATGAAGACGTTGCAATAATTTTTGAAAGAAGTCGATAATTCTTATATTGGAATTTACGGGATGCGATACAGTTACGCATTTTAATTCCACGTATAACAAATTTTCCGTTTGCTTCCGCCGTGGCGAGAAAATTAATTAACTAATTTAATTATTGAGACAGCATAGCTGTATTATGCCATGTAATATTATCAACCGATATTATATTTCTAAAATAATCCAAAACCTGTCGCCGCAGCGCGTAATTATTTCGCGTTCGATTACTTATCCGGTCGTTTACATATATATATATCACAGCCGAATCAGAGCGTCACGAAAACGTTAGCCGACGCGACCACCGATAATTATTTGTTTTTAATCCTCGGTGCGCCGGGGATAATTACGCGCACGTCGCACGTGTACGCGGTTGATTATCACGCGGGTGCATTAAAAGGGAGCCATTAACGCGGATGCGAGTTCGCGAACGCTATACCGGTGGCAATCCGGTCCTGCGATAAGCGTGTTCCGCTTTTTTATTAAAACCGCATCCGTGCGCCTGATAATCTGCGCGATATAACATGTGTATAATGGCCTGCCTCGTGGTTTAATTGCTGGACTCTTTAGCGCGGTGCGATGAACGCGAAACAGAGTGGAACGGTGCGTTAATGTGCTTCTTTGCCATCGCATCCTTAATTGCTTATTTCTGCGAGCGATAATATTCGCGATCCGCGAGAACATTTATCGTCAAAGATTGTGTTATCTGTGAGTGACACTTGTAATCGCTTTCATGTCGGGTATTTTTGCTGGAAGTCAATCGTAAAACAATATATTTTTTTCAGTGCTTAATTTCTTTCTCCATTTTTTGATAATGAAATAAAATGCGTTTTCTTTTTTCGCGGGATTATTTATTGCGCTATTAATTACGTCCTGTCACACGTATTTTTATGCCTGTTAATGCATTTTACATAACAGAGACATTTGGTTCCTTTAGATACTCTTTTTGTAATTTGTTGTGTAAGTTTAATTATTAAGTCTTTGCATCCTGCATCGCATTTTAATTGTCGCATAGCTCCAAATTTTAATTTTAATTGACTGTCTTATCATGTAATTGTGAATATTTGCAATTCGCATACGTAAGATGTCTTGTACTCAGGTGTAACTTATAATTAACGGGTGCTTATTAAATATGTTGCTCTTTTTTCAGACTCGAAGCGGGATGTCCGTGGGTTCGGGCGGGCGGGCACCGTTTAAGCGGACCACGCAGAATACTCTACCGCTTGCGAAAAAGTCCAACGACAATCGGTAAGTGCACAAATTGTTAATCTCAATTGCCACATAAGTCGTAACAGAAAATTGCAAAATTTATTTATTTTTGAGATGATGAAGAATTTAGTACAGAAATGCGCCATTCTAACACAAATCTGCAAAAACTTATAATTTTATTTAACTTGAAAAAACTTGTTATATATAAATTTCAAGATTTAGTTGATTAAAATTGTACATAAAACAATTATAATTTCGTACAAGTAACAAAATTTTTCTAAATTGCTCAGACAGAAAAAAATTCAAAATCCAAACTTGCTAATCAATTTTTAATATCTTATTAAAATTTTACACGTTGAAGATAATATAAATTTATTTTTGTTATAATTTTTTTTTAAACTGTTCTGAGAGTAACAACTGTGCGATGGTGTAATGTCTTTAGCAATTTCTACATTATCGATCTCGCGTTACTCGTGTCCGATTCTTCGTAATGGACGAAGCGTGATGCAGAGGACGCCGGCGTGCAATTTTGTGGTCGTCGCATAGTGCGGTAATGTTAAGCGTTCGTTACCGTAATCGACGCGGTATAATAAGACAGAACCCTTGTCCGTCACGGGTCGGAAAACCGGTCTCATTATTTTTCCGGGAAGTCCGTTATACACCTGCCGCCACAGATGGCTCCTAGTTTTTACACCTAGAGGAATGCTTTATCGCAACTCGACGAATCGCTCGGCGTTCGAATTTCACTCGTCGACAAATTTCACCGTTCAATGCGCTGGAAAATTGTATCCAATCATATCAGGCATGAAATATTTTATTTAAGACGATACTGATATTCTTTTGAAGTTGAAACACTGAAAATATGTGAAGTAAACTTTTCTTGTACATTAACTGCTTTAGTAAAAAGCCAACGTAAAAGAGATGTTAAAAATCGAACTATTTTGATGTATGCATGCCATGAAACTTCATCATAATATCGTTCGTTCAAACTGCATTTTATCATTGAACTTTTCTGTATTTAATATATACATTTTTGTTGAATTTTTTATTATATATATTATAACAGCAGTTTTTCTTTACGAATGCTAGTTAAAATAAAATTTTATTATATATATTCTCCGGAAAATCGCTATTTCGAGATAAGAGTAGCACCATTGGGGATATAGCTCAGTGGTAGAGCATTCGACTGCAGATCGAGAGGTCCCCGGTTCAAACCCGGGTGTCCCCTTCCTTTTTTTTTTTACGGTTTTTTGAAATTATTCATCTACATTATTACTGTTCTTTTTTTAACACACATATGATATAAAATTTTCGTATTCCTGGAGTTTTACGCTAATTATACGAAATAAATACATATTTCCGTGTTAAAATTATACATAGTTTCTTCGTGGAAGTATAACGTATATCTTTCCTGAATTAATAATAGTTAGGCGCAAAATGTGCGTCACACTTTCTTCGGTAACGCTATGCTTAACGTGAGATAGTGTTACTGGACAATCTCGTAAATTCACGTCGTGTTTTATCGCGTAAAATCCAACTCGCGGAGACGAGCATACGCCACGTAACGGAGATAAACGGGAGCATGCACGTGCTACGAACCGGCGTTATTATCGCGAGCCGGTCTGACGACGGCCGTTTTCTAGGAGACTCGCTCTTCTACCTGTGATGTTCCAAGTCGGAAATACGCATATCAATTTTTTTTTTACGCGAGTACATGCGCGGTGACTCAATCTTATCATTTTTTTTTTCATTTTTATAAGATTATTAGAACATAATATGTTATGTGCAAAATTATATGCTGGAGAAAGTGCGCTAATCTTATCCTTAACATCTAGAAAGTTATATGGAATAATTAACACATTAATTCACGCAAAAACTTGGTTCTTGGAAATAATATTATCTGATAATCTAATAGTAATAATTTATTTCGTAGATCAATTTTGTTCTAATTGAAGAGAGAAAAGCATACTGTTAACACAATTGACATGAAATAAAGTTTACGCTTCGTGCTCGATTCTATCTCGGCAGCACGACAAATCGCACGTAATTTATGTAATGCCGGGCAAGCGTTGTTAACCAGGTGCAAACCACCGCTGGAACAAAATCAATTCGTTTTGCCGGGTCTGCCGATCGATCGATCGATCGATCGTTCGTTCGTTCGGTCGTCCGTCTGTTCGTTCATTCGTTCGCTCTCTCGTCCGTTCGTTCGTTCGCAATAGGCGGATCCGACGAAGGGGCATTGACCAGCGGTCAGCGATCGAACTGACCTCATCAACTGGCCGATACACACTGAAACCCGTTGATACGCTAAACTCGAATCGGGTTCTCGATCGGCCGTCTCGGCCCTCGTTCTTTCCGATCGCGTAATTTCGCTCCGGGCCTTCAACGATAACGCTGCGAGAGCTCATACTACTTTTGGTGTCAAACGCGACTGGCCGATACTAATTTCTAGAATAGAAATCGTAACTAATATGTGTGCACAATTTAATTACGTTAGTTAGAAATGTTTTGTCGGAACGATGGGAAATCATCCAGGAAATCAAGCGGCTCACTAACGCGAAGCGTTCCCTCGTTGTGTCATTAAGCAACCTTCCTTTCTCGCGCCGACATTGTTTTCTCGGCTTACGGCTTCGTCGCCGAGCGCGGTAACGAAATTAGCGTCGGTGCGCGAAACTTAACCGCCACCGACTTTACCTCCGATTGTTCCCGCGGGGAAAATGTTAATGGCACGCACGCACGCGTTGCACAATCAGTCCTCCTCCTCGTTACTCACCTGCAGGCGCATACACGCACTCCCCAGCAATTGCACTCGCATTAGCGCACGCGACGTCTTACGTAACCGCTCTATCGATTCCTTGCGTAACGAGAGATTCCGCGGCTTTCCCGCATTTACGTCAGAATGATAATTATCGCGTCCGCACGCGGGCGGACGGGCGATCGTCCGCCGCCTCCGATTTTTTATTGTGCAACGAAAGCTGATTGCACTATCGATTGTCTGTATCGCAGTCTTTGTCGCCGTGGGCGCGGATAAACGCTCAATACGTGAAAGCGACACAATTCTGAAATTTCGAAAGAAAAGACATTTATTTGTCAAACCTTTCGATGACCTATTTAAGGATTTTTTCATATATTTTTTATGACGTAAGAGTAATATGAAAAATGTTTCAAGCAGTGCTCAGAAATTTAAGATGGTCGAGTGATTTGGACAATTCAAATCTCTTACGATACTCTTGAAAAGGACAAAACGACTGTACTGTGCGATTTGACCAATTAACCGCCTCGTAGGTTAACGCTTCCATTAATTAAGAAAAAGTATATGCATCCTTAATTTAATTGAAGTCAATTGACATGGATTTCAGGGCGAAGCCCTCAGGACCGACGGCGGCAGCAGCAACAGCAGCAACAACAACAACAACACCGAAACCAGCGCCGAGCGCAGGACGGAAGAAGGACGCGGTCGCGTCGCTCTTCAGCGCAAGGAGGCCGGCGAGCAGAAAAGTCGAGCGCACCGTCGTCCGCGGAGGACCCAAGGCGACGAAGCCGGCGGACCAGCGGCTAAAGTGAGTTCTCAAGCATGGTTCGCATGTGTGCCGTCGGTCATAAAAAAAGGGTGTGAGAGAAAGGGGGAGGGGGAAAAAAGACGCCGCGAGATGCGCCCGTTCGTCACTAGTTTGCGCGAACGGGTTCGACGACCCCGGGCCCCGCCGTTCCACTCCTTTCCCCGCGATTTCTCGATGCCACGCGTTGTACACGCGAATGGTATTAAGGATATCTTCAGCTATCTCTCGATTCTTCGAGGACGGAGATTACCCGCCGCGCCAAATGCGCCCCGGCTGTGCGATCTCGATAGTCGGCGGGATGCGCGACATGCAAAATCACCGCGCTCGGGTTGTTTTATGCGACAGGCGAGAGATTATGATTCGCGCGAATCGTGAATTATACTTTTTTGGCGATTGGTATTTTCTTTTTCAAT